TCTTGTCTGCATTTGGAGTTCCCCTTCGGTCGACTTTGCCTTCTCCGGTGGGACTTCCGGTTGGGATTTTGGTTGATGGTCGCCGATTTTCTGCGGCGGTGTTGGGTAGTGCGTGGGTCTGCAGAGGGGGGCGGGGCTCCGGCGACTGCGACGTCTTGCGTCGGGGAAGCCGGGACTGTAGAACCGAGCCGCTCTAACCCTCCGGTTCTCTGGTGTTGGGGACAGTGGGGTGTCCGATACGTCTGAGCTTGGCTAGGGGTGTTAGACGAGTTCGGGCCGTGCGGGTGCAGGGAGATGCTTTTGTTCTCTCGGTTGTAGGCGGGTCGACTTCGAGTTCGATTCGAAGTCTGGTTTGGCTTCTGTATAGGCGGTTCCGCAGTTTCGAAAGTGGTTCCTCGGGCTTGGGATCTTTCTTGGAGATTGATCGCTTGTTCAGCCCGCTTGTCTGCTGAGAAAGGGCTTGTCCGTTGTTTATTTAGTTATTTGTTCCGTTTTATGTCATTTGAGTTTGTGTTGTTTTTCGTCCGGTGTTTTTGGTTTGGGCCGTTGACCCCTGTACTGTGTGAGCCCGGTTGTGTCCGGATGTTATCCCTTGGGTATCGTTCCTATTCACGCGTGGGGAGCTTTGTGTGGAATTCCTTCATCGCATAGCATCCCACCTTCTTGACATAGTTTCCGCCCAACTTTAAGCGAAATGTTGATTTGTTTTTGTGTTGTTGTGTCGGTTGTGTTTGAGTCTCGTCTTTGGTTACTAGCTTAGCTAGTTGTGGATCTAGGCGGTCTTCTGACCTGTCCTCCCACTATTTCAACTGTTGGTTATATTATTCAGCTACGGGCTGTAATTTTGCACATTTATGTGTTTTGATTTATAATATCTTCTATCGTTCCCGAAAAAAAAATAATAATAATAATTGAGCTAGGTTTGAGTGAAATTTTGAATTTGTATTAAAATAATATTTAAATATAATGATTAAAGTTGATATGATGTGTGAGGATGATTAATTGTTATTATTTAATTACTATCTATACCCATGTATTACATGGGTGACGGATGATTGTTAAAAAAGTTATACTTAAAATTGAAAAATAATGAAAAAAATTGTTTTGAATTTTAAATACTTTTTTGTAAAGCTATATTATTATTTATATTTAAAATGACACTCGTTACTTATACAACTTACTCATCATATATTATAATATTTTTAAACTTCATATAACTACATTTTAGTTAATTTAATTTAAAAAAATTAGAGTTTTTTTCAAATATTATTAGTAGATAATTTATTTTTATTATTAAATAGGTAAATATAATTATCTACTTATTTAGTATGTACAATACAAATGTCAAATCAAAACTAATCAAAATATGATCATTTTGATATATTATATTTAAAAAATTTCAGTAAATTCACAAATTATTAATTTTTATAATAAATTTATAATTTAAGTTTCTTACAATGTCAAAATAAACACTGAGGAAAAATAGAAAGATTTAGAAAAAAATGTATGTCATATAATCCACTTCTATAATAGGAAATGATATTAACACATAATTAATGCTCGTAAAAAATGTCATAAATATATAGTATATTTATGATTATTTAGCCTAGTTAATTATGAATTAAAAGTAAATTAAAATCTATCCAAACTAAATGACAAATCATGAAAATTTATCACGTAGGATCTCGAAACGTTCAAATCTGTTACTTAGAATCAAGATATTCGTGAATTTTATATAGAGAGATATTGATAATATTGAGACTAAAAGGCTATGTTGTTGTTGTATTGATAATATTGAGAAGATTTGAGTTGAATTAAATTTGAATTAAATTTTCGAGTTCAAAATAAATTATCTAGTAAAAAATTGCCAGATAATTTATATCAATCAGAGCTTAAGAATCACAACTTCACCACAAGAGCTGAACGAACAATCACAACTTCACCACATATTGATCAAATATGAACTCATTGAATGGGTTCAACAAATATACAACTTGATGACAAAATATACATTCACCGGTCGGCACAAATTGAACAAATCACGTGCTTTTATCACCCAATCAAACACACGACCGAGCAACATTGTTCTTTCTTTACACAGTATAATAGATCTCGATTCACATCCACTCCCTAAATAAATAATCATCATCTAATACACAGATAACTTACATATAATTGACCTAACCAAGTATTGTCACATTAGTTCCAAATCAATTCACGGGCCCCTACCCATGTCTTGGCCACTATATTCCACTCCACCAAACGACCGAGCAACATCAATGGATGTCATCAGAGCTGAAAGCCCACTGCCCGAGCCGCTGCCAGCTGTCGCCATCCCCAGCCCAAGTAGGTCTAGCGTGGCCCGTTCGGGCCCAAACCCGCTGTTGGACTCAAGCTGAGGCCCACAAGGCCCATTTGGGCCCGAGGAGCTTGAAACAACACCGAGGCCCATAAGAAGGGAGGAGTTCGATTTTGGGCCCATCTGAGCGGCCTTCTGCAGCAATGCAGTTGCTGACAAGGCGGGAGCGTATTGCCGGCGGTCGAAGATTGAAGAATTCTGATTAGTGGCGAGGCAGAGGGATACAGTAGGCTGAGAAGAATGGAAGCTTCCGGAAGATGTGGGTGGAGCAAAAACAGTGGCCAACGCGTTGCTGCTGGTGCAACAACTGGTGATGATTTCTGAGAGAGTTTGTGCAGTTGACGGATTTGGGCCTGGCGTTTTAGGCAATTCTGTCCAACGTGGGTAATTAGTACGGAGAAGAATGAGAAGTGAGGAAGGATTTGACTTAGGATAAGAGAAAGTGCACGAATAAGAAGAAAATCTAATGATAAAGAGGTTTGAAGGAAGTGAAAAGAATCATAATGGAAATAACTTTACTGATCTCACTTTGAACTTCTCTTTTGGCTTTTTGGATCTTGAATATTTCGTTGCTTTACCATAAAGATTTACCTTTTTCTGAAACTATAATTATTAAATATCTACTACTTCTTAGAGTACTCGATTAAATCTCTAGCTTCAACTAGATTTTAATATATGTATGTACTATCAGCTAGCTTGAAATTTTTAAGTAGATAAAAACAAATTCCGGTTAACAGACAAAAAACAGCTAAATCCAAGATTGGAGACAGATATATAACAAAATTTTGTAAAACCCAAATCCCAGATTACCAAAAAAATACAAAACTTTTTTAGTCAAACTACCTGGACTCAGAAGAACAGGCAAAACAGAGTTCACCATGGAAACTGTAGAGGCCGGAGCTTCTTCCGGCGGCAATGGTGGTGATGTGGCAGCCGGAGGTGGAGACAACTTAACAGCCTCAACAGTTTTACTCTTATCTTCATCCTCTTCAGCAATCACAGGGACCTCAGTTGTCCGGGCTTTCGCGCTTTCCACTGCTAAGGCATCACAAAAAGCCCTGTGCGTAATAAAACTATCCCTCCTGCAAAATTTTACTAATACATCACCAAACACAAATGCACATAAAATGGTCAAACAAAAAACAAAAAAAAAAACAAAAAAAATGGTACCTAGAAAACAAAGTTCCACAATCGCATCTATATTCTCGGGTTCCACAAATCTTGGAATGGGCTTTCCAGTCTGACTGAACGGCGTATTTCTTGGAGCACTTTTCGCATTTCCACTTTTTCTCGCCGTGCTTGCGGCAAAAGTGCTTCTTTATCCCCGTCAGGTCACCAAGGGCCCGGGCCGGATCGTGGTGGACGCAGCCGGGCTCGGGGCAGATGTAAACCCTTTTCTTGACGTCCTTGCCGGACCTCTGCCGGAGCTTCCACGGCAGGTTGTGGCCGCGCCGGTGGAGCTGCAGGTTCTGGTCCCGCTGGAAACCCTTGTTGCAGATTTCGCACACGAATCGGTTCGTGGCAAGCAGGGTTTTGGGCGATAGAGCAATTACCTCCGCATCAGGATCTGATAATAATCATTATATTTTTCCAATTAAAAAAAAAAAGATAATAACAAGAAAGTTGAAGCCCAACATAAAAAAAAAATGATTTTTTTTCAGCTGATTTACTGAATTATTACAATTTTTTTTTTACCTGGCATTCCTGGGAGATTGCGCTTCTTCCTGAGAGGTGGGTTCTTAGGGTATGTTTGATTGCCGGAAGAAGAATCGCCGGAGATGGTGGACTCGTTCATGGCGGAAAAATAATCAGCAAATATTAGGGATTGTGAGCAATTTCTGGGGTTTGCTAAAAGGAGATGTATCTCGGAGGAGGCATTTATGTTTGGGGTCAGTATTTCGTATTTGGTAGCCAACTAACAACTGGTAACAGATTACCAAAAATCAGGACAATAAATGAAGTCAAAAGGGGAAGTAGAAAAGGAAAAACGGCAGAGCTTGATCTCCGAACGGAACAGGATGCGGAAGAAGGCCAGCAAAACAGAGAGATTTGTAAGTCTGCTGAAAAGGGCTGCCAGCGAAAATGGAGAAAGCAATACTTTTCGAGATCTTGACTGAATTACAAGTGCTTGAACAGAAGAACGAAAAAAGTGTATCGAGTCTTCAAATTTTAATTTGTGATGTGCTGCGTAATTGGGAAGGTTAATATTGCCGGCGAGGAAAATGGCCTTTCATGATTTCTGCAAAATGGCAGTCGCATATGAGAGAGAGAGAGAGAGAGGGGGATGGAGAGAGAGGTGTGTGACTCTGTAAGAAAAGTCGTCCAGTGTTTGGTTCTGAAATGGAAAAGAGGAGATTACTAGAAAACTCGGATAACGAGTTAAAACTAATGAAAATTAGTATCAGTTTTTTTGTTTTTGTTTTTGTTTTTTTTAAATAATACTCCTTCCTATTTTTAATAAATGTCGTTTTGAGAAGTTGCACAATAATTAAGAATATTATTTTTTGCAATAATAACCCTCAATGAGGATAGAGATTGATGTTTTGAGAAAAGATTAAGAGTGAATATAAAAAGACGTACTGTATTTATTAGTTAGATGAGGATAATAATAGAAAATATGTACAAAATAGCCAAAACGACATTTATTTAACAAATGATCAATAACAAATGATCAATTAAGCTACGATGACAAATAATAAAAATAGGAGGGAGTACAATTTATCTCAGGATCAATTTTAATGGATTTTAACTGATTTTTACTGCTTATCGATCGCCCCCTTAAAGAGTTGCCCAATAATTATACTTAGAAACAATAAATCATGATATCACCTTGGAGATTATATTTAGAAACTTAATCATAATATCATATCACTAGTACAGTTGCCCGTGCGAATGCACAAGAACTAAAAAAAAAAATTATTAAAAAATATTGCAATTAACGATTAAATATTATTGAATATTTTCTTACATACAATGTTCTTCGTCTTAAAGTTGTCTTTATCATCACAAATTAATATTTTTAACAGTCTCTTCGTCTTTTTCAAAATCATTATCTCCTTTAGCAAAATTTTATTTGTCTTCATCCTTAGAATTCTTTGTTTTTTATGAGATCGATTCACCAAACAACTTTCTCTTAGAATAGCATTTCAGCAGTATTGGATTCTTTTTTTGCTGATCGCCTCGTCATCATCAATTTTTTTCTCGTCACCCACATTAGCTCCCTATAAATGTAAAATAACTAAATAATTAACTTCATTTAGTTTAATCATATAAATTTAATATATTATTTAATTATTAATAAAAAATGTAAAAGTAAAACATAGAACTCCTAAATTATAAATTTATATGAAACATTTAGATTGAATAAAAATAAAAAGTGTAGTTATAGTTTTATAATATTAATAAAAATATGAAATAATAATATTAAATAAAAGTAAGTGAGAAACAAGTGGGACCTATAAAAAAGAAGGTTTGTGAGGTTTACTATTATTAGAGGTTTGAGTGTGTTTATAAAAGAATAAATTTACTCGAATTAACTCAAAGTGAGTTTTTTTTTAATTAATTAGGGTTAATTTAGAAAAAAGTGGTACAATTAGTTGTTAGTGTATTTTTGAGTTTAATAAAATAATTAAAATTAATTAGATGTAAAAGTAGGAGAAAAATAATATCAAATAATAGTTAGTTAAAATGATATGAGCAGATAAATAATGAATTAAATTTGATATGATACAAGAGTAAAAATGGAGTTTTAGCTTTGATGCAGCACATTAGAGAAAAGAGATTTATGGAGTTAGTATTATTAAATGAGAGTGCTCTAGTTTGCCAAAGCCATCTATTTCTTTCCTCTCCTTAAAAAATAAAAATAAAAATTACACTGTCCATTTGAGAGTTTCGCTAAAACACACATCCCAGTTGATTCATTTCGCTAACATTTGCATGATATGAATTGCAACTTTGAGGTAAGAAAAAGTGTCATTGACTTGTATTAACGAAGTTGATTGTGTGGGTCGGTTTTCTGGGTGATTTAGAAGTTTGGGTCCAGTCTTGCGCTTCCACACGCCGACCCACGGAAAATTTCCGGTGAAGGGGACAGTTAGCCTCATTGGTTTGAAAATCAGATTAAGTTACTATTATTATGCTTTCTGTTGATTTTTTTTCCCTTTTTAGCCCTAGGTACTGGTGAAGCGACTCCCGGTCTCGGGTCGAGAAAGTGCTGGCAGAAAGAAACTCTCAAAGTGCATAAATTTAAAACCCTAAACCCACATCACACCTCACGCATTTTCCCGAAACGCAATAGTTCTGTTTGAAGACGTTGATTTGCCAAATTGTCAGAGCTATAGCCATGGCAGACATGGACTTGGATGATCTTGACGATGGCCCAAGCAAGGCCCCGAGCAGACTATCTCGGTTTGCGCCCAAAGGCTCCAAGTTCAAACCCAAACCCAAAACCGAACCATCTCAATCACTGCCTGCACCCAAGGAAGAGGAACTTGTTGTTAAGCCCGAAACCAAGCCCGACCACACAAATGATGTAGTTGAGATGGATTTTGATGTGAAGCCAGCCGTGAAGGACAAAGAGGAAGGCGATTCAATGGAAACTCGAGCAGCGGAAGCTGAAAATGGGGCTGAAGATGAAGTAGTTCGAGAAATCGACGTTTATTTTGCTCCTTCTGTTGACTCCAAAACTCGGGTAGATGACCAATTTTTCATTTCTGTAACTTCATTTGGATTTTATGTTACGTCTAATTTCTCAATATTGATGATGAAGCTTTACAAATTACTCTGAGGCATTGTTTCTTTTTCAGCTGTATGTGTTGCAGTATCCACTGAGGCCGATATGGAGGCCATATGAATTGGATGATAGGTGCGAAGAGGTATGCTTGTATACATCAAATTATTTTGATAACGTTAATGTAATTAATTTTACATAATTAAGAATCTGTTTCGAGCCAAGTTGTGAATTTTTGTAACTCGAATGCTTTGTGGTTCATAATTTAGGTGAGAGTGAAGCCAGGAAGTACAGAAGTGGAGATTGATTTGTCTGTTGATGTCAACTCCAAGAATTATGACTCAGAGGCTGATCCCAGAGTGCAGATGACAAAGCAGGTTTGTCATTGGGTTATTTCTCAAGCAAATGATTCACACCAGTTTGATAAACTTAACTCAAATACCGAAACTTGGAGGCACTGAAACTGAACTTTACAGTCAGAAACCTGAGATCGAAATCGATTGCATGCAGTGCTTAGGCCATATTCTAAGTTCTTCAGAACCACTTGAATATGCTGACCTCACTGTCGTCATTGTTATTGCCTTTGTACTTTGCCAAACTTTCGTTTATAATTTTCATACCTTTTTATTTAGTTAACTGCTTTTCTTTTTCTCTTTTTTTGTGATCAATCCATGTCATACAATTGTATGTTTTTTTTTTTTGGGCTAGACTCTTACTTCTTCATGGAAGCCACCCCACATAAGTGGTTATGCTGTTGGAGTTCTCACTGGAAACAAGGCATGTTATTTTCATTTTCTTATGGTGCAGTTTATTTCTAGTTTCTGACATCCTTGCTCAAAGATCCTTGTAGCATGCTTGGATATAAAAAGTTTTTGTTTTGATTGGATTTTTGGTTTGGTTGGTTAAATTTGAAAAAGTTGGTATAGTTAGTTGTTAGTGGGTATATTAAAATAATATTTAAAATAAAATGATTAAAATTAAATTGATGTAAAAGTAGGAGAGAGAAGATGTGATGTGATGGTTAGTTAAAATTATGTGAGTTGATGAATAGTGAATAAAGGTTGATGTGTGTAAGAATGATTGATTGATATTATTTAATTATATTAATAATATTGATGATAGTGGAGTTGAGTTAAAAAAAGTGATTGAGATAAAAATGATTGGATTTTTGAGTTGTATTTGTATCTAAGCATTAAGGTTTCTTCAGTTGCTGGAATGAATGTAAATCTTCTGATCTTATTTCCTTTATTTTGTTGTGCAGTTACACTTGAGTCCTGTTCATGCAGTTGTGCAACTCCGGCCATCTATGCAACATCTTGGTTCTAGGGAATCTGGAAGGACTGTTGAACCCAGTTTTTCTGATGATAAAGTGAAGTTAGAAGAGCCTGAGGCAGGAAAGACTTCTTCATCAAAGAAACAGGTGGTTATCTGTCTATTCCTTGCATGCTATTTGTTAACAATCTGATTACTCATATAATATCAGCTTTGCACTTCCATGTTTTTAATTGTTATATGAATAAAGTAATTGATGAAAGGATTACCACACCCTACCCTCTTTTGTTAAAGGGCTGCTTCCTGACAATGAATTCTGACAGAGGTTTAAATATTTTCTTCTGATGACAAGACACACGTAATAGCTTTCTTTCAAATTCATTAGTACTACTGCAATTTCCGTTCATGCATCTAATAATTTGGTTGGAAGTTTTGCTTAAGTTATCACCAATTCACTATAAGAATTTTGATTGTAAAACTGATATCCTAATTCCTTACAGAGCCAAACTTCGGAGCAGAGTCAGCTGGCTGGTAGCAAGGAAGAGGTGTGCACTTATTATGTTGACTTTTCACTATGATAATTTCTATTTATGCATTCTCAGTCGTCCCGACTATGTCACGCTTTAAAATGTTTGTACTTTCTATGCAATAGATATCTGATAACTGAATGGTTTACTTATAGCACAGCTATGTTAATGATCTCAACACTTGATTAGTTGTAGCTATTTTCGCATTATATAG